AGACATGGAAGTTGACACTGTTGAACCTCATGAACCAGCGATGTCAGTCAAGCATTCTTTGTAAACCTAGAATAAACGACTCAGAAATGGTTTTCGTTAATGATCATGCCGAGGTATACACTTTACCATTACCATCAAATTCTACTCGCCAGATGCGAAAACGTCAAAGAGGCCAAATCGAGATGTTGCTACCGTTCATTTTGACGCCACAAAAGTGCAATACTGTTTTAACATCATAAATCGATTGCAGGTTCTTTTGTACAGCTTTGATGAACAGTAGAGATGTGCAAAAAAAACGCTCAATTCGACATACCAAGTCCAATGTGACAGGCTTACCCCAGAAGAAACGGCAATGATCCTCACTAGCTTGAACAAAGGCTATCGAGATGACAGAGCTGCAACGCTTATATAGGTTACGTGGCACATTAGTTGCCACATTTACAACTAACTTCGAAAGCAGCGTTGCAAGCAGCGTTGTATCTGAGAAAACTAAATGTAGCACGGCTGCAATCAGCAAAATTACCCAACATCGTACAAATTCAAACACTCCAATTCCTAAAACGTACGTTAAGCTTCTGGATCATCACTAGCTGCAACCCGATTGTCATCGAAAAAGATAGCGTGATCTGCTTGCTTATAGAAACATACACTTAGCCAGGAAGATTAATACAATATCGGCGGCACTCGATCGACAAGATCTTGAATTAACTCAAGCTCTCACGACGCTGCGTGACATGGTAGACGTGAGATCATTGCATGCAACTGCTGTGCAGCGGGATGCCGTATTTCTTCCGCTTAGAGGAAGCTTGGTTTAGGTCGATGACCTTCGTTCTATACTTATAACCAGTACGAGTGTAGCGGATCGCAATCCGCTTACTCCAAGAGTAACTCCAACCTTACCTCGAAACCAATTAACTCTTCCGGCGATGAGGTAAGCTGTATTTCTCGGTTTTATTTGCGGCAAAACCGCCTATATCTAAATTTATAGATTTTCTATATATATAGTAAACACTAATCAAATGTGTAACTACTGGCTGTTCCAGCCACGTACTGACATCTTGATTAAGTTTGGTCACAATTTTGTATGGTCAAACCATTTTGTGTAGCCCACAACATTTGTGATCCACAATCTTTATACAAGGGCACGTGAAAACCCGTTACAAAAGGTGCGTAGAAATGTTGACATGATTGAGACATAGATAATGCTGCGTCGCGAAATGCCAAAAGTAAGAAACATCCATATCAGTAGAGGCGAGTGTGGCTTGCACGGCCGTCGGCAAGGCTGCAGCTCACAGCCGTGCCGTTATTATCGTTCATGAGCAGAGCCGACAAAACGTAGCGGGTTGTTCTAGAGCCAAATAAGTTGACATGCACTTTTGTCACACAGTTCGATTAAAATTGATAATTAGAATGACAATGAATGCTTCCAGATGCAACGGAGCTGTCGTGCCCTTAGCACAGATTAAACTCTTGATAATAGATTTTTCGTCTAACGTAAAGATGATAAGTGTGCGCCTCGCAGGCATGGAGCTGAGAGTCTCTCCACATAAAAAATACCACTTCTTCAATCTTAGCTTAGAGCGATATATTTAGATTCAAGATTAGCATAAACGTCTATAGGTTTCTTTTCATCACAATATATCTTTATGTAATGTTTGGAATAAGGCTGGCATCATCAGCCACTCCCAGAGCATGCCGCTCGGGTACTCACCGCTGTCAGCGGAATATCATGAGCAATTGAAAACATCCATCACCAAGTCGAGTGGACTGTAATTTGTACATTCAACCATGTTCTTCTCGAGAATATCCTTCCTAGGAATCGGCGTCTGTGCCGAAGTGGTGGCAGCGCTGAATTTATTGTAAGCGTGAGCGATACGCCAATTGCCAGTCGGTTTCCGGACACAGAACGTGGGTGTCGAATGGGGAGACTTGCTCACACGCACCATTCCTGCAACGTGCTTCATACGGAAAAGGCGTCTATGACGTCGCACTGCTCTTTGGGCAGAGTCATTGGCGTGTTACGCAGTATTTTACTCCCGAAACCAGGTCGATCTCATGACACACACCTCGGTCCGGAGGAAGGACTGACGGCGGGTCTTTGGAGACGGCGTCGTGAGGTTTCTTCACCAAAGGATAGTACGGATCCGAGGGATTCTTTAGGATCTAAAATCTACTTTGTGCGCTCTGTACTCTCTTGGTATCCTCCAGAACAGCTTTATCTAGAAGCGACGACGAGTTGATCCCCTCATCCGGCCGTATAATGACTACTTGTCCAGCTCAGGAAGAGCGTTTATTGTAGTAACAGCCTCAAGGGTTACGTCACCGTATTCCGCCTCCGTCATACCGTCAACGAGGGTGTATAGCTGTGCGCTATCGTGTACGGTTGACTATGGTCGACGCCTTGCGTCTTGTCGCTGTCGCCTCTTCACAGAGGGTTACATCTCGGCGACATTAGTGGGTCACGCACCCAGCGTCCTCCAGTGTTAGTCCTCGAGCCCTGATGTTAGTAACAACATCCGACGAAGAGCTGCTAGCTACGTCGTCTTTATCCAGTGGATAACGTGCCACTTCTCGCGCATCTTAAGAGCCTTGCCCCCGATGCCTCGAAACCTCATCCGATAATACCAATTGCGGCATGCAGCAGCTGCTTCGAAACATGAAAAGTGATCAGTAGATTACGTGCCACTCTACGTTTAGCCCGCGAGCCATGCCTGCATGATATACCTTCGGGGTTCACTGACTCGAATGCTCCGACCTCCAGCACGTTGACCGTCTCGGTCCAGTGCCCGCGCCGATAGCGTTTTTGCTAGTAGGTTCATGACTAATCAAAGCTCCACCAGGAGACGTGCGCGTAGCGCCCAAGGTTTTCGACGTCCAGTTGATCCATGGCTTATCGTGTTCCAGCCGTGCCATACCAACGATGAGGTCATACCTCGAATCCAAGTCTAAGACTAAGCAGCATTCCACGCTATCAAAGTACAAAAACTTGAAGTTGAGGTCCAATGAGACCTTCAGCACCATGCCACATGTCCTCGTCGCTAAAGGAACAGTGACGATGTCACTCGACCGCGCCTTTAGCGCCTCAGCGTACAGCTGATTTTCGTCCTTCGTGGAGCATCGAGCATAATTCCCCACGTGCTCTAGCAGAGCATTTTTATACCTTGAAAGCGCCTTTAGGCGCGCGCCATTCGCATCAGATCCTTGCGAATCGAGGTGTTGCACGCCTTCAAGACCAAATCTGGATATTACAGCAGCTTTCGTGGTGCATCTACACACGTTGCAACGCGCCGCTTCTTCTTGGAATAGGACTTTGGAGAGTCGCTACAATTGCTATCATAGGTAATTACCTGGGAATTTTCACCTTAAAAAGCTTGTAAGCCGTCGGACACAGGGATCAGGCTTTTCACATAATCTTGTCCAGGTATGTATGGGCACGTAATAGAGACAAGCTGTATGCAAGTATGTTCTAGGAGCAGGCAATGTAGGGTACATATATTGAATTTTTGCTTCGTCATTTACAGAATTTCACTTTTGCAAAATGCCTTTTGTACAAAAGCTCCACATCATAGTGGACGAGGCTTTAACGAGGTATTAATGTTCAAGTTTATATTACACTATACAGAAGTACTGAACCACTGGTTCTAATTCAAACGATATAACAATGTAAAGCGGACACGTGAGTCGGTGATGCAATGCAAATAGCTCGATTTTTGGGCATATTTGAACAGGAACAATTAGCACTAGATTAATTAGCTTATCCTTTGCAAATGTGAGGAGACGAAACATTGTTCTGACTTGCGTTGAAGGATCCTGTCTCAATTCTAGATAAATTATACGATTTCGTTGAAAATGCGGGCTCTTTGAGTAATAAATTCCACTGTGCAAGGTGCACGGCATGCCGCTTGTTGTATGACTTTTGTGTTTCTTATAACGGGGTTACACGTACCCTGGTAACAGTGGTGTGTTTCACACGAGATGTAGATGGTGTGAATGCACCCAAACAAGTTTACGGTATGTGGCTAGGTAGCCAGTAGTTATGCATGTATTTAGATTTTTCTATATATTTAGTTAAATCTATACATCTTAAATTAGGCGGTTTAAACGCAGATAAAAATAAATAAAAATCAGTTTAAACAAAATTTAATCCGAAGAATTTATTTGCCATGTTAAGGCACTAACTACTCTTGGAGGTAGCGGATTGCGATCCGCTATGCTTGTATTGGTTCTTGTAAAGAACGAAAGGTCGGTGACCTAAATTACGCTTTCTCAAGCGCTAAGCTAC